CACCCTCAGTAAGCAGTCCGTAGCAGCTGTCAAACTCCCAGGTACCTATTTACTGCTAGGTAACAGGGGCATCAAGGTGAAAGAAACTTTTTGCCCATTTGTCTCCGCCTCCACCGGGGATCGAACCCGGAACCTCAGGACTACGAATCTGAAGCACTGTCCACTCAGCTGTCAGGCGCTTTCAGGTGCTCGGCTTGGGTACAAAAAAATATTACCTGGGAATATGGAATAGGTATTAATGATGATGAAATTAAGTGTAAACTATGTGGTACCTGGTTGATGGGGTTCTGTGAGTTCTTCTACTCCCCAAACTCGGCCCGAGGCCAGGCTTGACTTGTGAGAATTTGGTCTACTAGGCTGTTGCTAGGAGCGGCCCGCAGGCCCACATACCCACCACAGCCCGGTTGGTCCGGCACTCCTTGGAGGAATGTTAAGGTCTCACACCCTCACCCATTATGTTCTTGATTGTCCGTTGATTAATGCATATATAAATAATGAGAGATAAGGACCGTTCCTGAACAAGTAGTCTGGATGTGTCACAACGACAAGATTGATGATATTCTGTAGAGATATAAGACTTTTGTACCAAGAGTTTGCGAACATTCAAGCTTGTTCGCATTTTGTGTTGCTCACGTGGCCCCACAAAGTGAGGTGATTCCATGAAATATCTATGCCCAAGCTTACCACCAAGTGCTGTCGGGTCGTTGGGGATATAGCCTCGGCTACCAATGACTTCTGTACAGTCACGGTGTGCATAGTGCTCCTGGCTGTCTGGGTTCGAATCCTTCTGGGGTGTGGAGTTTTTAGTTATATATATATGCAAACAAGCTTGAATGGTCTCCAAGTATATATGCGTTTGAAAACTTCACTTCCCAGAAGTGACTCGAACCCGGACCGCCAGGAGCACATTACATCTGTTGTCACGGTGCCTTAAACCACTCGACCATCAGTGACCGTACAAAAAGTGGTGATAGCCGAGGCTATTTGAACCACCACCCCGACGGCACTTTGATGGTAATCTTGGGCATAGCTATTTCATCAAATCACCTCATTTTTGTGGGGCCACGTGAGCAACACAAATGCGAACGAGCTTGAATGGTCCCCAAGCATAAATGCGTCTGAAAACTCCACACCCCAGAAATGACTCGAACCCGGACCGACAGGAACACATTGCAACTGGTGTTACGGTGCCTTAAACCAGTTTGTACGGTCACTGATGGTCGAGTGGTTGTTTGGACTATTGGAACTATTGTGGGTTGCATTTTGGGAAAGTCAGTCATAGAACGGGGCCCTAGGGTGCCCCCGATAATCCTAACAGGTTTCCTGTCCCAGACATTGGGAAACATTAATTTCATCAGTGTGTCCAAATAATATCGCCACAATGATGAAATCAATTGAGTAAAGACAATTCAAAGTAAGGGATATGTATATCCGCCATGCTTGCTAATATGTTCTCCCCACGCAGATTACATCCACTACGGGCTCACCATAGCCCGTGCTACTTGGAACTTTTGGTTCCCAGTAGCGAATCTTAAACAACAACAACATCTCCCCCCAGGTGTCCATCTGTGCCGGGTGTAACGTGGTGCGGCCGTGGGGAGCCTGCGTCACGGGCGCGCTGGGTGGAGCAGTGTTCCTCGCTATCCACTCTCTGCTGCCCAAACTGAAGGGTACGTCCGCTCCGTCTTTACTAGTGTGATATATTATTGTTTAAATTGGGTTTCTCGGCTATTTATTGTTGTCAAGTTGGCACTACATTTCCAGCTTTACTTAAATTAACTTCAAGAAATCAAGGTTAGATTCTGTGGAGTATTTTGAAGGACAAGATATTCCTTTGTTATCTTTTAACTGTTGCTATCGTTATACTTAATTTTTCCGAATAAGATGCAGCTGTGTTTCTTCCACAGTTGACGACCCACTTGATGCTGTGGCTGTACACATGGGAGGTGGGTTGTGGGGGCTGGTTGCTGTGGCCCTCTTCCAGGATGGTGGCATTGTGTACGGGGGCAGCGCGGAGGTCCTCGCCTGGAACATAGTGGGGGCGCTGGCCATAGTGGCCTGGTCTGGTGGTCTTTGTTTGCTTATGTTTGGTTCCCTCAGGCTGCTCGGCGTCTTGAGGGTGCCTCCAGAAATGGAAATTGCAGGCAAGTGAATTTATCTTAACCGAATTACTTGAATATATAAAGTTTATCTTAATTTACCAGAGGGTCATCATCCATTTAGTGCCCTCGACGGGCACAGAAAGCCGGAGGTTTGTCAGACGTCCCCCTCTTTTGTTCCTGAGAACTTTTTCCTCCTGGATTATGAACTGCAGTAAGGTTTTGGCACTTACAGCTTCATCGGGTAGGTGGTTCCATTTTCACCTGTGGGTGAAAAGGCATCAGTTTTCTGTTTTACATTATGGCTTGTTGAGCTTGAGCTTGAGCCTCTTCTGTGTTACATCTAATCTTTTAAAGAAATGGTCTGGATCCTCAAAGTAGTTTTTGTTTGTTCATTGTATTCTAGATGTGTTATTTACACAGTAGATAAACCCGTAACGTGTTCAAAGATATTTTACAAATGACTGGAATAATACTCCATATAACGAAAGTCCACTGCGTGTGTTAAAAAAAATGTAGTTTCATTATTTATTTTGTGTCAAGGCCAGTAGTTGGACTCAATTAAATATTCTGTATTCTATACTTTGTGCATGGGTCGACCCATGTACACTAATGTTGGGAGAGAATATGATAGAGTAGGATCCTGCAAGGATGTTTTAGAAACTTATCGCATGGAGACATTTGACGTAAAACGAAATATCTCAACTGCATATTTTATACAATTAACTCTTTACGATATCTGTACGTCAGGAATGGACATCTTGAAGCACGGGGAGCCAGCCTACCCGGCTGAAGCTTGGCTGGAGAGCCAGTACGATGGCTCCGTCAAGGCTCAGGAGGATATCAACAGGAACACCTGTAAGCTGCTATTTCCCGTTTTCATAAATGATAGGCTGTATCCTAGTTACTTTATTTCGTTTCCTTAATAGATATAACTTTTTTTTTTACTGTATATTTTGTAGATCTTCATGTTCCTATACTCTTAGTGTTTTGAGTATTTCCTGTAATTGTCATATAACAATCTTAAGAGCTATCTTAAGATCACTTTCACTTCTCACTTTCTTTTGATAATTATTTCCCAACAATATTCAGATTTATTATATTCTCTCACGTAATCTTTCTAAATGTAGATTATAAAATACTGGTTCAATAGATTTGAAATATCGCTTATCGTCGTATATTCTACTAAAAGTCTGCTATAGTTTTGATCTACAATAGTCTTGCTGGTTGGTCAAGCTATTGCTATGGCCTTAATAACCCTTTAGACTAATGAACAAATCCACAAGGACCGTGACGAGGATTCGAACCTGCGTCCGAGAGCATCCCAGACGCTGCCTTAATTGACTGAGCTACGACATGGTAAAAGAGTTGAAACCTTTAGACTAGAAGCTGATTAGCCTGAAACCCAACAAACCAATTATGAAACTCACACTAGCAATCGCTTATCTCTTACTGATGTTCAGTACTTGAGATCACAACATTATTAATTTGTTGTCATCAGTCACTAAATACTTCACTTGTATTTACCCACTAAGTCACTTGTGGGTACTGGTTCAGTAACAGGGTTGTTGATTTGTGGAACCAATTGCCGCGTAACATTGTGGAGGTGGGGTCCCTCGATTGTTTCAAGCATGGGTTGGACATGTATATGAGTGGGATTAGGTGATTATAAATAGGAGCTGCCTCGTATGGGCCAATAGGCCTTCTGCAGTTGCCTTTGTTCTTATGTTCTAAGCAATTCACAATGTTACAGATCTGCCACCCAACATGTCTGCCCCGTGGAAATCCGGCTGGAGACTCCCGGCGCCGTACCCAACACACCTGGTACAGTGGAAGGTGTCCGAGGCGCGAGCACCTCACGGTAACGCTCCCCATCTCACATACAACCTCACTCAACCCATCCACAACGCAAGTGAATTCCATCCCAGTTATGACAGGTCGAGCTATGATCTAGCGGGACGGCTGCGACACCATAATTATGAAGAAACGAGAGGTTACCAAGGACCTACGACGGTGGCATGATGGTTGACACGCGTTAGGGGGGGGGGGTAGAAATAGCCTAAGCTACTCTACCCCTTTGAGATGTATTTCTTTCTTGTCTCAATAAACATACTTGAACTTGGTTGACACGCGCCTATCGCCCCTGTTCATCCAGCAGTAAACGGGGATTTGGCTGTACATCGATTGGAGGATCTTGTTCTGGGGAAAATATGCTGGTCAAGCTTTAACAAGGTCCATGATGAGGAACAGTTCTTAGCTTGCAGAAATGGTTAAAAACTTGGGTTCCTTCTCCTTTACACTCTAGAGGTAATGATGTAGGCTAACAGGCAGTAGGATAACTCCAAGCAGAAATTGTATGCAAAGACATTAACCGGTTTGGTCTTATTGTGTTTGATTTTAGTTAAGAAAGTTATGGGCTCCGAGCTTGAAATACAGTACAGTAGTCTAGATGTAGGTACATAAACAATATCTAAAGTTGAGCACTTCATTTTAAAGCCCTTGTGTTCAAGTTGGTTCTACAAGTCCTAAAATATGTTTGGTTATTCGCGCACGTTGCTTTATTTAAAAAATTCGTGAACTATTATGATGAATGCATTTTGTTCCAGAGCGAGAGGACAGTATTTCAACATAATAAATGAGATGTGAATTGTTATAAATGGATTAATACATTAACTGTTGTGTAAATAACTTTGCATTGAACAAGTTGTCATAATTCTATTAACTGTCTGTTGTATGCTTCGCGAGGTTTGAAATATTTTCGTCCATGTCTAATGAAGGTAACTGAGAGGACAGATTGATTGATGAAGATTAAGCCACCCAAAAGGTGGCACGGGCATGAATAGCCTTTAAGTGGTGGCCCTTTTAAGCCATTACCAGTATCAAGAGCTAATACTGAAGATCTGTGGAGGTGCGACTGCACCCAGCGTGACGGGAGATGTCTCCCGGACCAAATGGTGACCAGATGGTGTGAGAGGACAGGCTCCAGATGGAGTTGAGTATGTCAACCATACTCAGGAACACTCCAGTCAGATTCACATCCGGTAAAAATGTCCATTGCCTCATCCACCACCCAGTGTTTATCCACTTGAATAGTTTTCTAGGATTTCATGTGTTGGAATCCTTAGGATTAAGCTTTTAAGTGCCTTGGAGAAGTCTAATGACAGCACATCATCTGCCAAAATTGTATTCACGAAACTGGAAAGCATTTCCAGTTATGGGCTTTTTTTTTATTAACACATTTTAGTACATCACAATCGACTTGAGAATGATCCAGGACGGACCGAAATGTCGTCGTCCCTTCATCTTGTGGTCTGGTCAACATACTTCAGCCACGTTATTTTGACTCCTCGCCTGCATAACAAAATCTGAATTTGTGCAGCTACCCTAGACTATATGAAGGGGAGTACAATGTCAAAAACGCTTACGGGCTCTATGTAGCTCACCATAGCCGGTGCTACATGGACACTTCGTTCTGAGTAGCTAAATATGAAACAACAACAACAACATCAAAAACTAGCTGTGAGATGCTAAAAATCCCCATCACACAGGATGGTTAGTCATACAGAGGCGGTTTGTTAGGGATGTTTTGTTTTTTTCAGCGAATCTGAAATATTATAATTATTTTTAGACGCTTCTTATTAAGGCATCAAAGAAGGTATAAAATGAAGCCATGAGAATAATCTTAGGATGAACAAGAAATGTTATGATTGAGATAATGAGGATGGAGTTGAATCTGAAGAGTATTGGGGATAGAATTTCAGAGATAAATGTAGCCTCTGCCATTGGATTAATGAGAGGTGGGGGAGCTAATGAATTAATCCTCTCAGTTCAAAAGGTGGGAAGTAATGCACAATGTATGATAAAGTATAATAAGAGAGCATATATGAGTACCTTATGTTCTAATGTTATAAAGTATGATGCTATTCCAAAATGGTTGCTTTGCCTAAGAGACAATTCACATCATCATGGGAAGATTGTAACGTAGATGTAGTAATTATTCCTATGCAAAAGAAAAAAGTATGTATGAGATAGGAGAGCTGAGGGCAACATATGATTGTAGCTACTCGGAACACAAAAGTTCCAAATATCACGGGCTATGGTGAGCCCGCAGGAGCTACAAGCGCTTTGCCCCAAGAGTGTAACACTTATATATTACTATATATATATTACCTTACTATATTACCTGCAATGTAAAATATGATTCTTGTACTGTGATTTGTGGATTTGTACTCACTGGATTTGTGCGCCCCTTGAGGGACTTGAAGTAGAGGAGGGTAGGAATAGCCTAAGGTACTTTATCCCTTTGAGATGTATTTTTAGTCTCAATAAACGTACTTGAACTTGATTAAGGCATCGCTCTTCCATGAGGCTGTGTACTTTTAAGTGGTTCATAATGTGTGATTCAGGTTCTTTATTTAAATTTAACAAATGTATACAATGGTAATGTTATAACGCTTATATTTATATTATAGTGATTGTATTTCTAATAAAGGATCAGTATGTAAGTAAGCGTATCGTACTCAATCATTAATAGTCTCGGGAAGAGTTTACAGCTATGGAAGGTTAATTTGATTAGATGGGAGTTGGCTGTTACAGTTATTACTATGATATCCAGTCAAGAAATTACTATGATATCCATATAAACAACATGAATGATATTATGGCTGGTAATGGGAACAATCCCATTATTTGCATTAGCGTGGGAGGAAATGATGTTGGTCGAGTCAGGAGTGAGGAACTGATTCAGAGGTATAAAACAGCCATAGAGTTAGTTAGGAGCAAGGGAGGAATCCCGATCATATGTGGCATTCTTCCAAGAAAGGGAGTGGGAAATGAATGGATATCGAGGGCACTTGGTGTCAATTGCCGGCTGGAAAGATATTGCAAATCAAATGCAATATCTTTCATAGACAACTGGGAACACTTCTATGGAAGAAATGAAATGTATGCTCGTGATGGGGTGCATCTATCGAGAGCTGGGGTTGTTGCTGTTGCGAACTCGCTAGAAGAAGTGGTTAGAGGTGTTTGTTTGGGTTTAAACTGTTAGTAGATAGAGGTATGGGAATTGATTTGGAGGAAGGAGGTAATAAAAGTATGTGTTTGTGGGAGAAAGGAATTGGCAAAACGATCAGGGAAAGAGAAGGTCCGCAAAATAACAATTCACTTAGGGTATATTACACTAACAGTAGAAGTCTAAGAAATAAAATTAACGAATTAAATGCTCTTGTCTGCACAGAAAAAATAGATATTATTGCACTTACCGAAACGTGGATGAATGTAGAAAATAGAGAACTATTAGCTGAATATCAAATATATGGATTTAAACTATTTCACACAGATAGATATATTAGACGAGGAGGTGGAGTAGCCATATATGTTAGGGATAATTTGAAATGTAGTCTCAAAGAGGGAATCAAAACAGAGCCACACACAGAAACTATTTGGATTGAATTAAACGAAAAAGCTAATAATATTATAATAGGAGTAATATATAGGCCACCAAATTTAGACAGAATGGAAGCAAAGCATCTATGGGATGAAATATCTAGAGCATCTAGATCTAACAGTATTTATGTCATGGGTGACTTTAATTTTAGCGGAATAAACTGGTTGAACAAAACAGGGAATAGTGAAGCAGAAGATTTTCTAGAATTAATTGACGATTGCTTTCTTACGCAACACATTAAGGAACTAACACGGGAAAATAATATTTTAGATTTAGTGTTAACTAACAGGGAAACGCAAATTAATGACATCGAAATAGGGAGTGAGCTAGGGAGCAGTGATCACAAAGAAATCAGATTTAGCATAGAATGGAATAGACCAGTAGGAGAAAATTCTGTTAAAGTGCCAGATTTTCGAAAAGCTGATTTTAATAGCCTAAGAAATTTTTTGGGTCAAATTGATTGGAAAGGCTTGGGTATGGGGTGTGGGCCGGTCTTGGAGCGAGACATGAACCCAGCGATAGGTGATTTAAATGGGGATTTCGATGTGGATTCAATATATAACTTATTTAAGAATATTCTAAACAAAGCACAGGAACGTAGTATACCATACAAATTGAATAGATCGTATAATAATGACCCAAAGTGGATAACAAAGAATTTGAAGAACCTTATAGGTAAAAAGAGAGCTTGGTACAAAAGGATTAAAAATGGGGAGGTCACTTTAGAACAGGAATTCGTACAACTGGTTAGAAATGTTAAAAAAGAGATAAGGAAAGCAAAAAGAAACTATGAAGTTCGCATAGCAGGGCAAGCAAAGACAAATCCTAAAGGGTTTTTTCAGTTATATCGTACTAAGACTAGGGAAAGGATAGGTCCATTAAAAACTGAGACAGGTCAAATAACAGATAGTGATGAAGAGATGAGTAGTATTTTTAATAAATATTTTGTATCTGTATTTACTAAAGAGGAACTTAACAATATGCCTTCAGCCGAACAAGTCTATGTGGGTGGGGACGAGGACAGGTTGACGAGTTTAGCAGTTACCAGGGAGGATGTTCTTAAACAAATAGTAAAACTCAAACCAAACAAATCCCCAGGGCCGGATGAAGTGTTTGCTAGGGTGCTTAAAGAATGCAAAGAGGAGCTTTGTGACCCACTGTCAACCATATTTAATAAATCAATAGAGTCAGGCAGAGTGCCAGAGTTTTGGAAAGTTGCTAATGTGATACCAGTTTTTAAGAAAGGAGATAGATCACTTGCGTCTAACTATCGACCAATTAGCCTAACGTCTATTGTGGGAAAGTTACTCGAATCTATAATAGCAAATAAAATTCGTCTTCATCTTGAAAAACATAAATTAATAATTGAGTCGCAACATGGTTTTATAAATGGCCGTTCATGTTTAACAAATTTGTTATCTTTTTATTCTAGCATTGTTGAGGCAATTGATAGTGGTAAGGATTGCGATGTTGTATACCTTGACTTTAGCAAAGCTTTTGATACAGTGCCACATGAAAGACTGATTAAAAAAATAGAGTCTCATGGTATTGGGGGTGCTATATTAAGCTGGATTAGGGCATGGCTATACCAAAGGAAACAGAGAGTTAGTATAAATGGAATCAAGTCAGAGTGGGAAAATGTTGTAAGTGGAGTGCCTCAAGGCTCTGTCCTGGGACCTCTGTTGTTTATAATATATATAAATGATTTAGATTCAGGTTTGAGTAGCAACATTTGCAAATTTGCCGATGATACGAAAATCGGTAGGGAAATTAATTCGGAGGAGGACTCACTATCACTTCAAGTTGATCTAGATAGGGTTTTGAAATGGTCAAAGGATTGGCAGATGCAGTTTAATGCTGATAAATGTAAAGTTCTGAGGTTAGGTAATGATGATAGAGTTACAAGATACGAGCTAGATGGTGTTGTGATTGCGAAGTCGGATTGCGAAAGGGATCTGGGAGTTATGATTAGTAAGAATTTAAAACAAAAGGATCAATGCATAAATGTTCGTAATAAGGCAAATCGGACACTTGGATTTATTAATCGCAGCGTTAGTAACAAGACACCTGGTGTGGTTCTCAAGCTATATCTTGCTCTAGTTAGGCCCCATTTAGATTATGCAGTTCAGTTTTGGTCGCCATATTATAGAATGGATATAAATTCACTTGAACGTGTCCAGCGTAGGATGACTAAGTTAATTCCCCAAATTAGAAATCTTTCATATGAAGAAAGATTAACAAAGCTTAAGTTGCATTCACTGGAAAGGCGAAGAGTTAGGGGTGACATGATAGAGGTTTACAAGTGGATGAATGGACATAACCGGGGGGATATTAATAGGGTATTAAAAGTATCAACACAGGACAGAACACGAAACAATGGATATAAATTGGATAAGTTTAGATTTAGGAAAGACTTGGGTAAATACTGGTTCAGTAACAGGGTTGTTGATTTGTGGAACCAATTGCCGCGTAACATTGTGGAGGTGGGGTCCCTCGATTGTTTCAAGCACGGGTTGGACAAGTATATGAGTGGGATTGGGTGGTTATAGAATAGGAGCTGCCTCGTATGGGCCAATAGGCCTTCTGCAGTTACCTTTGTTCTTATGTTCTTATGTTATGTTATCCAGTCAAGAAATTACTATGATATCTAGTCAAGAAATTACTATGATATCCAGTCAAGAAATTACTATGATATCCAGTCAAGAAATTACTATGATATCGTCAAGATATATTTCGTGATAAGATAGCCTACTAGCGTCCTCTCTTTTTTTTTTTCATCGCTTCACACAGTTCATAGCTATAATGAATATTTAATTATTTACAAAATTAGCTCAGCTTTGGTTAATTCGTTTATGAGCAATTATCCAGGATTAGCTGAATCCTGGATAATGCGCACTACTCCTATAGTTTCCTCAATACTAAAACGACGACCAATTATTAGACAATGTTGTTTTATTCAACCTATATCAATCTAAAGGAAATACAAACAAATATGATTGTACTTAACCTCTTTAACTTGAGGTTAGGATATACTTGGTTGAGTAAAGTAAAAAGAGATGCTAAGTTAGTTGTGGAGTAAGTCAAGAATAATGTCTCTAGTTATAAGCAGACTAAATTCTGAGAAAGGGAAGGAGATTAGTATAACTAAATATGTCGGTTTGCATGAGGAGTCCAGAAAAATGAAGCTAAAACCAAACTTAAATATTCCTAGACTTAAATAAATATTTAATATATATATGAAATATTCCTACAATGTAACTATTAT